AACCATAAAAAAAGAGGTTGTATGCCACTCCAATTAACTCCTCCAGTCAACTAGAGATGTAACATAAGCGGACAATTTTTTTAGACTAATTTTAATTGACACTTATCTAGACTTTTACTTACCAGGGTCGAGTTAGTGGAGAATTAGCCTTATAAATTATCATCAAACATGTAGTTACATTTCACTTTTCTAATATTCATTAACAAATGATAACAATTATTAAATAAAATGCATATTTATAAATAAACTTCAAATATAAAATCACGATTTTTGCTACAAGAATAGATGGGTCATCTAACTACAAATGCACTTGTTTTTTCTTTCCCTGAAAATTGTAATTGTAGTATCTGGTGAGAACTAATCTAATGAGATAAACAATGTTAAAATAAGATTCAAACAACAAGAAAAACAACAACTAGAACAACAAGAACAACAATAAGCCTTTATACAAACATACAAGAAAAAAATAATATGGATATTGATATGTTTATAAATTTAACTAGCCTACTGCAACAATAATTATATAGATATGCTTTGATACATAAATAATAATGAAGATGTGATCATAAATTTTAAATATAACAGTTGCCAGAAATTCAATATAACTTTTATTGTCAAATTTTTTTTATTGTCCCATGCTAGTCAATTTCATATAGAAATATACTTTCTTCATTTTCTATTTTTCTTTTTTATTTCTAATATTTATTATCTAGAAATGTCAGATGATTTTTTGCATATGTTTTGACATTTTAAATTCTTCAGGTTGCCGTCTAGTCAGTCGGTCATAATTACCGTTGATAAAGTTTGGTTAGTCCAACATTATAGTTATCAATAACCCCTCATACCATTTGGACTATTTCAACTTCAATATAAAAGTCTTATTTATTATGTCCATTAAGGCTTATATTGTGAGAGCTTTTGGCTTCCCATGCACGTTTTATTGTTATAGTTCCATATCTATTACACAATAAGATGATATGATATTGATCATCCGCGCTTATTAAATTATTTTCTTATTCATTTTTTGCTTAACATTAGGGGCGAACCCAGGTAGGGTCCTGGGGGTATATGGAAAGACATTTTGATTTTTTGCCACTCCTAAAATATCAGTTTTGCCCCTTCTGAAATATCACTTCGCCCTTCGTTGCCCTAGCCTCTCCCACATTAGGTACAGGGTGTTAGTTTCCCCCTTAAAAAAAGAGGTTGGTTCCGCTCCTGCTTAACATAAATGTATGTTAATAATCAACTATATTAGCTAGTACTAGAAAAATATTTTGACATTTGATATTCAATATTTTTTTACTTAATTATGATTTTCTTAATAAAACTATTACAAAATTCATAATAAACAAATGATTTTACACACACACACGAATTAAACTTTCTTACATAGTATAGTGTACTTGTAAGAATGAAGTTTTAAATATAAATACATAACAAGATGGTTTTCTTATAAGCAGTAGCAAACATTAGATCTATAGAGGATTTGCTTCTTATTTTAGCAATTAATTGACATTTCTACCTTGGAGGCATGGAGTCATTTTCTCTCTATCAGGGTTTTGACAAGTGCAGGTTGCAAATTAAGTTTGGTCGAGAGCTTAGGCTTTGGTGGTCGGTGTCCGAGTGATTTTCTAGTCAAGGTAGAAATGTTGGAGTTTGAAAATTTAGGGGGTTTGTCTATGAATTACAGAAATAATGATTTGGGATTTTTTTTTTTAGTTTTAGATTTAGGTTAAGAAAGAAAATTCATTAGGGTTTGTCGGACTCTCATACTAGTTGATACCGTTTTAGGGCTCACAAAAGGTATTTGAGTAGCGGATTTCACATGGAGGTGGTCATGGAATAACCAAAGAGGCTAATATGTGTGTTGGGTTGTTCGGATTTCTTTTTTTTATGATTAGATGAATTTAGAAATGTTTTTGTGAATTTTCCTATATGGAACGCTGTATCCTCTTCCTTTTGGATGTGGTGTATATCGAGTATAGTTGTTGGAACCTCTTTGCTACTGTATCTCACTGTTTCACCGTCCAACTTGTTGATTTCAGCTAGGAAAGTCACTGACGATGTCAAACCTTCTGTCCAATGACAGATTTATCCCTTCATTCCCTTCCAAACACTGTTGACCTCACATATTAGCCTTCCATCGCTATTCTACAACCATTTTCTCTCCAAATCCGCTTCCCAAATACCTTCTAGCTAAGAGTATTAGAATGGTATCATAAAAATTTTTTCCCCTTTAAAACTTACTTTTTGGTTCATATGACATTGATGTGTACAAGTTGCTACATAACATATGGAAGGGTGTTTACTATTTGGGCCTATAATGTTTTGGATTATTTCTAGCTTTGTTCCTCAGTTACAAAGTCAAGTATCTTATATCTATCCTCTTCTCAATTTCATCCTTATTTCAGTATGATTAGCACTGTTCCCTTTCTAATGGTCTTCATCAATCTAAGTTTAGATTATGTTCCACTGAAAATTCTTGACAATGTGTCACCACATGCAGTCTAGCATGTCTACAATGCCACATACGAATGCAAAAACTCCTAGTCTTATCCTTCTCTTAAATTGTAGTTATCTTTTGAAATTTGAAACCTAAGATTTTATTGTTGGCATCTTCAGGATGTTCTTTTGCCATTTTATCTATTTCTAAATGCCTGTTGTGATCTGTAGGTTTATGCTATCATGAACAACTGGAGAGCAACCATTTGAAAGAGGAGCTGCTGAATAAATTGAAGAATCCTAAATACATGGTCTCTTCTTGGTTATGCATTTGGTTGCTTATGAATAAAAACAACATTTGAAGAAAATTCTTGCATTGTTTATGTTATGGTTCGGCTATAATTGAGAGCTACTCTTACTTTTTTGTTGAGAAACTGAAATCCAATTTTATGGATTTGCTCGCTACCATAAAACTTTTTTATTTTTTCCTTTTATGATTTATTATCCTTGAGACTTACATATGGATATAAATTTGTCTATTTCTACAGAAAATGCTGGAGAGTAGAGCAGCTCTTCCTATAGCTAAGCTAAAAGATACTTTTTTACAACTGCTCCATGACAATGATGTGATAATTGTTTCTGGGGAAACAGGTTCTGGTAAAACAACTCAGGTGCGCTTTACTTTGCTTGATGAGTAGTGATATAATTGATGAATTAAACAAGGGCTTGCTCATCAGCCTTCTAGAATATAAGCGATGTTCGTGAAATACAATGAAAAGTGAAGAATTAGAAATCATTCAACAAGGAACTTTAAAGCCCTCTCAGCACTATCATGGCAATGAGAACTAGAAAGTTTTTTTGGGCTAACCCCTTTTGGATGCCGCAAACAGTTACCTCCACAGTATTGTGGCAATGAGAACTAGAAATTTCTTTGGCTAACCAGTAGTTGGTTGCCATTACCAGTTCTAGCCTTTAGCATCAAGGATCTAGTTTCACAAAATGTTCTTTAAGTTTAAAGCACAACAATAAATGTAAATATTGCCTCTTTGGGCAGATGGCTTCTGTTAAATAAAGAATAAAGAACATACTGAGCTATTCCCTGTTCTAGAGTATAGCTAATATAGAGAAGAGCCCAATATACTTTTGGGAGAACTTATTTTTCTGTTTTGAAAATGGTATTTAATCAGTAATTGTTTGGCATGTTCAATGAGTAGTTGTTTTAAGGCATGTTATGGTTTTTGAATAAAATCAATATTTTTCTCCAACCATAAGTTCATATTTTTCCTGTAATAGTTCATTTAAAATTGACTCAGCAAAACCTAGAGTAGATTACCGTGAACAGTGGTAACTCTTCTTCCCTTTCATCATAAAGTGTTTGTTAATCACTTAGTCCACTGATGATAATTTATTTGTGATAATTAACAATCATCTTCCCACTATGTAAATGTTGCAGGTTCCTCAGTTTATTTTGGATGACATGATCAAATCAGGATTGGGTGGTTGTTGTAATATCATATGTACGCAACCTAGGAGAATTGCGGTATGGATTCTCTTGCTGTCAGTAGAGTTTAATTTCTTGGTTCCAACTTCATATACATTACTATATATTCAATGGTGATATTTGAAAAGATTGTTACTATAGCCAACATGTGCAACTATTTTTTTTTGTTTTGCCTCCATATTTTAATTGCTTGCCTTGTTGATCAGATTTCTTGCTCACCCCTATAACTTGAGTATTAAACAAGATTCAATGAAAAAAGAGGATTCATGATACCCTTCTATGGCTTATAGAAGGTATTTAGGAAGTGGATGTATGGGGTGGGGTTTGTGAGATATCAAGGAAGTGAAATTTTGGGTATCAACAGTGTTTGGATGAAAATGAGGTTAAATATGCTTTTGATGAGAGATTTTGCCAGTCGGCAGCTGTTTGGACTAGAATCAGTAATGGAACTATAAAACGATGAGGTACGAGTAGCTAGGAGGATCCTCCACCACTTTTTGAGCAAGATACACACACACAACTTGCAAAAGGAAGATGATATATTACTCCAAAGTGCATAAAAAAAGTGATCCAAGTCTCAAAACACAAATACCATTATTCATCTTCCAAACGAAGAAGTATACAACATATGTAGAAGCTCCTTAATGGAAAATAACTTAATTAGAAATAGTAAAATAAGAAAAAATAAGAAAGGAGAAACAAAAGGAGACTTGTTAAAAATAAAATAAACAGAAAAAAAGGAAATCTCGACACATATTACTTCCATAATCACTAGAGCTGTGAGTGGTGGAATCATGCTATCACAAAAATTCTGAGATCGAAATCACGGGATGCGCAATCCCGCATTTATGTAGGACACTCACACATCATTCTCCTTGACTAGGAGAGACTTCTCTTTCTTGTATAGAAGGGTCAGGGTCCCACAGCTCGATTTCATTTCCACAAAAAACTTGTCGATATTTTCAAAGTAATGCTCACATCTACCTGGTCATCTTTTTTGGGACGCATTACTGATTTGAACTGAAATTTAGTATTCAGTTCATTCCAAAGAGTCTTCAAGAAATCCTAAAAAATTTCTCGTTTCTATATGAAGTGATGACATACTGTACCTCCCTAAATAATGACAACCTAGGAGGTATGCTGTAGGTCATACAATCTTGAAATCCACTTAGCTGAGACTGCCCAGTGTTTGGTATTAGCTCCTTGGACTCATCGTCATCTAAGACAACCAATTTGAAGGACCCACCAAATCACTAGCATCTTTTCCTCATTGACTTTTAGTACTTCTTTCTAGGATCCTCATCCTTTCTCATGTCACTGCGTATTTCTTCAACTGCTCCATGCTTAATGAAAAATATCATTTTTCTTTTTGGGTAATCTGATGCAATTTATCCCAAACCGTGGCACTTGAAATACTTTTTTGGCTAGGATGGATTTGAGAGTGTTGGTTGTCTCCACTTTTCTCTACTCTGAACTAATTTTTCCTCTGACAGGGATACTCCATTCGGTGTATTCTTGCTGCTTGATCTTTGAATTGAATTCTGTCTGTAAGTTGTATAGGCTTTTGGTGACGTTGTTTTTCCACCTTCAAAGATAGTGTTTGCACACAGTAAGGGCTTCAATGATGAGGAGGACTGGCCCCGACGCTTCGGAATTCATTACCAGAGAAGGCCAAGAGAGGAGGCGGCGTATGGAGGATAGAGATTTCAGAATGAAAATATATCTACTGGAGTTCGAATGAGGGATGCATCCAGATGATTGAGAGAGTATTCAAGACAAAGAAGTGACAAAAGGCATGAGCGTGAAGCTCGCGACCATCAAATTGAAAAAGAGCGCTTTCTTGTGGTGGGAAAATTTGCAGAGGCAAAGGAGAGAAGTGAAAATATTATCATATGTGAGAAGATAATGAAGAAGATATAGAGAAAATACTTACCTCACTACCATCATGATATGCTTTTGAGGCTTCTTCACCTATAATAGAGAGACATATCAGTGGAGGAGTTTAGGACAAAGTTTGACCAGCTTTAAATGAAATGCGAGTTGGGCAAGCCACAGGAATATACTATAGCCAGATATTTGGGAGACCTGAAGCCAGCTATAAATAACATTGTGCAACTGCAGCCTTATTGGTCTTTGAGAGATGTCTAGATCGTAGCCTTGAAGGTGGACAAAAAAAAAAAAAAAAAAAAAAAAAAAAACAAAGCAGATAATCACTCTTATTTAGACAACCACTTACACCTGAATCTGCCAACAAGGGTACATCTGAAGGAGTTGGGAAGGCCAGCAGGGAAGTGACAAGACAAATTTGAGTGGAAAGATGCGCTAGAAGAGTAATTCTCCCCGTACAATGCCTGTCAGGAGATGTTTTAGGTGCCACGACTGTTCCATGTTATATGACAACTAATTTACTGTCAATTTTCTGTTTTTTAATGGTATTTTATGTCTATCTTGCTTTGTCTATTGTACAGCTTCTATGTTTAAGCATCATAATATGTGTTTTGAAATTCCTACTTGCAGGCCATATCAGTGGCTAAAAGAGTGACTGATGAACGATGTGAGCCCTCTCCAGGTGGTGATGGGTCATTGGTTGGCTATCAGGTTCGCCTTGATAGTGCCAGGTGAAATTGACATGACTCTAGTATCCATAATCGTTGATAATTAGCCCACACCAAATACTTGAGAGATAAGAATGATTATGAGGATGATGATGATTTAAATATTGACCATAGAAATGGTTACATTACTTTCGTACAATCATCATTTGCAAGTTGACTATATTTTCTTACTTTAGTTTTGTACAATTATCATTTGCTTTATCATCCGAACTTTTTGGTGTGTTTGTTAGTCCTTCATCTTTTATGTGGAATATGAAAATCTTAAATGGCTATATTCTATGAAAAATTACACCATTCCTACTTTTGCTTGCAATTGATATTAAATATGGCTATGCATAGATTAGTATCATTAATTTTCTTTTATTAGTTCATTTATCAGTCATTATTTTAATTATATTGGGAACTACTGTCATTTGTATGTTTTGGTTGAGTTTTACTCTTATTTTGTACGATCTTCTGTTATGCATCATCTAATGGAGATTGCATTTTTTGTAATAAAATGATGTCCGAAATGATTCTCCCTCTTTATTTGCTTGCCCGATTTTTCACTCTTGTTCAGTCTTCCTTCTTCAACTGTTTAAGGCATCCCTAAATCTCCCATAGCATCTGTCAAATTGGTTTAGTACCATAGCATTCCTTCTCTACAGCAGATGGTCAGTCTTCCTAATTACTTCCTTGATCCATCCCTTGTGTGAAATCTCAAATTTTTGATGCCAGACGGTGTTTGCTGTGCATGTACCCATCTCTTCTGTTTCTCGTTATATGTTTTTTTCTTCCCTGAACGAGTATATTTTTTTCACATGCCATACAAAATCAGCCTGTTGAAAATATCAGATGGAACAAAAAATCAATGACCAAAATGACAAACTTTAAAGATTGAAAGCTCCATCTATTACTCTTTATTTGCTTGCCCGATTTTTCACTCTTGTTCAGTCTTCCTTCTTCAATTGTTTAAGGCATACCTAAATCTCCCATAGCATCTGTAAAATTGGTTTAGTACCATAGCATTCCTTCTCTACAGCAGATGGTCGGTCTTCCTAATTACTTCCTTGATCCATCCCTTGTGTGAAATCTCAAATTTTTGATGCCAGACGGTGTTTGCTGTGCATGTACCCATCTCTTCTGTTTCTCGTTATATGTTTTTTTCTTCCCTGAACTAGTATATTTTTTTCACATGCCATACAAAATCAGCCTGGTGAAAATATCAGATGGAACAAAAAATCAATGACCAAAATGACGAACTTTGAAGATTGAAAGCTCCATCTATTACAAATTTCAGAAATGTATGAACTGAACTCATTTTTCCCTAATAAATATCACTGAAATAATCTTCTGAACCAATTTTGGTCACATCAATTTCCTTAATTCTTCTCTATAGCTACTGAATTCCCCATTAGCTTCTATTTGTATGAGCCAATTGCTAGTAAATTGTTGTTGTCTTTCCATAAATAGATTGTCATCATTTATTTAATTTTCTTGTATTTATCCGTGACTTGATACTAATAAGTTTGGAGCGATGCAGATGTGCTCATAATGAAACTTTTATGTCCTCATAAAATTAGGAATGAACGGACAAAGCTACTTTTCTGCACAACAGGCATTCTTCTTAGGAAACTGGCTGTAAGTTTCTCCCTGCTGGAATACTTAATTTGGCAAATGCTCCTTCCTTTTTTTTTAAATATTATTTTTTCTGCTTATGGATTGCATTTTCTTTCTTAGATGCATTCCTTTGTTTGCATGCTTGTTAAGAATTAAGGGACCGTTTGAATAACTTAACTCTCATGCTCTGTTTTGCCAATTTTAAGATACTGTCTTGTATTTATTTAATCACCAAGTTTTACTAATTTGTTTATATTTAAATTCAGTTCATTCATTAAATCTTAAGTAAACCTATGTCTACTCCTAACAAGTAATGTTTATACTTTGATCTTGTCCATTATTCTGAGTATTTTTTTAGTCATCATCATCATTTGCTATATCATAACTATTTAGGGTTGGATTTTGGAATCCTTGTTTTCTATTTGTTCTTGTTGAATGCTCTGGGTTGTTCTTATTATGCAGCCATCATTTTGAACAGTTTTAATCCTCATAACCTTGGTTGTACCTCTTTTTATTCCTAATTTTTTGATACTAATTTTAAAAGCATGTATGGTAAACAAATTTTCTTATTAGTTTTTATGCATGCATAAATTACTAAAGCCTCTTTCTTGCTACATTATTTGCAATAATTGACACATCAATATTTTGTATTATCTTTTTTAATTAATCATTTTCAGTTTTTCCACACAATCGTATGAACATTCTTATTTCCACAACACTCAATTTTGATATTAATGATATTCTTACAACTAAATATTTAAGTTCACACAACTTTATAGAGCTAATTTCTTATTTATAAAATTTATTTTTCAGCCTCCATAATATCCTCTTATCTACACTATTATTTAAAAATGGAATGTGATTCTATTAATCTACGCTTTTGACTTTTTAATTTTAAAATGTAATTACACTTGTTCATTGCCTTGCACATATTAAATTTTAATCTTTGAAATTATAGTAGTACTATGCATTCTACGTGTTAAAAATTAAAGCGTTGAAATACTTTTATTATTGTATTATAAGTTGATCATGTATGTATGATGCTTTAACAAAATGATACGGGAGCTCTTCGCCCTACGTGGTGCCTGGGAAAAGGTGGATCCCGTAATCTTGTCGAACTCCCGATTCTGCATTCCCAAGATCACAACTTGTAATACCGCAAAAAGGCAGGATCCCACAATCTCTTGGAGTTCTCAAGCTGGAATTCTAGATTCCCACGGTCATAAGAAGCCTATTGTGCTCAGGATTATGTCCCATTGTCTATTTTAACATAATGTTCTTTACTTTTTGATTTCATTCATATTCCTCTAGTTCCAATTGGATTCTTTTCTATGAGGAAATTATTTGTGTTTCTTGTGCTATTTTTGGGGATTTTGTTATTGTTAGGGGTATAAACGAATCAAACATTAGTGAGCCCAGGCTCAGCTCGTGTTCGACTTGTTAAAAGATACCACTGTTCGTGTTCGGCTCGTTAAAAGATATCACTGTTCGTGTTCGACTTGTTTATATTTCAAACAAAAAAAAAAGTGTTCGTGTTCAGCTCATTTTGACAACCCTAATCAAAAAAAAAAGTGTTCGTGTTCAGCTCATTTTGACAACCCTAATCACGCAGTCGTAGGATGTTAACGGTCGGGGCTGGATTTAAATCTTATTATTTATATTAAAATATCATTAATATATTTTTATTCTATTTTTTTAAGTAATAATTTAAGTTGATTATAAATCTTTGTAGCTTTGTTAGTCAATTAAATTTTTTAAAAATACAACTTATCAATTACATATATATATATTAGTTTAATTATTTTAAGCTAAGTCGAGACTAATATGAACAAACAAATCTTTGTTTTTGTTCGGCTCGTTTATATATCGAGCTAAAAAATTGTTCATGTTCCGCTTGTTAACTTAGAGAACAAATCGAACCTGAGTTTTTTAATGAGCCAAACACGAATTGTTCATGAACAACGAGCAATTTTGATTGCTCTAGTTATTGTTATTGTGTTTGGAGATTTTATTCCTTTTTTTTTGCTCTCATTGCTATATCTTTTTTTTTTGCAGGTGATATGTCTATATCTTGCCCATGAATAGATGGTGGATACTCCTTGCCACCCTTATCTCGCCATTCGTCATTCAACCAACTGTTGACCTCATTTTATGGTCATTACTCTTTTCCTTAGGATCCTAGGATCTAGCTTTATGGGTTCCTATTGACTATCTTAGAAAACTTGTATTGGAATCTATCCCCTTAGAAATTCCAGCCACTTCCTATTTCTCTTTTGATGTCCCACATTGATGATCTTAAAACCATCGTCGTATGGTCGAGTGGTTAAGGACTATCATGTGGAGACTCAGGGAGAAGTTTTCAACAGGATCTCAAGCCATAGAAAAACCTCTTCAGAACTTTATCATCACACACACACACACACACAAAATGCATAAAATTCACAAAGTTGCACAAAATCGGACTTAAATTGAGCTTAAAGGATGGGTGAAAGTGCGAACTTCTCCGGATGACCTCTAACGACAAAATGGACTGCGCCAGCGCGTCCGAGACACCAATTTTAGCTTCGAAAGACACCCATATTGCCATAATTTCGCGCATAAGCAAGTTGCACGCAAATCGATGAATTCATTAAAACAATCTCCAACGAAGAAATAGACCACGCCAGCGTGTCCAAAATGCTAATGTTACCTGAAAAGGACATTCAATTTTCTACAATCTGGCGCACGAATGAAAATGCATAAATCAAATTTTATTTTTAAAATATTAAAATTTGTTGTTCAGGGAAAGCATGTTTCGATCTATTATCATATGCTAATCTTCTTCTTACACTTCTATTATTCCTATGCCTGTATGCTGGAAATTGTGGCCTTTTTTTTTCTATCCTTGCTGAATCAATTTATTGTTAACGGAAGGATGATTTTTTTTGGGGGAAGAAGATAGCTTACATTTTATTTCTGCTCGAAATACATGGGAAATCATGAATATGAACTCTGAAATGATATTTGCTCATTTAGAATTCATGTTGGAAATGAAATGTTGATGCTTTTTTACTATTGTTATTCCTGTCCAAATAAATGCTGGAAGTTCTACCCCGTTTGGACCCATTTGATTGGCTCGGTTTGGCTCTTTTGGGATTGTATGCTGGAAATGTTTCTCTGTTTTTCCCCATATGGATGAGTTCGGTTTTTGACTTTTTTTTGGCTTCATTTTGGATTTAATGCTAGCTGAGAATTTTTGCCCTGTTTTGCCTTTCTTGTGGGCTCGGTTTGGCCTGAGGATTGGGTTTGGTTTGCCCCTATGCTAGGCCTGATTTGCCAATGTGATAGGTTTGGTTTTAATTCTGTTAGGTTGGAAATTATAGCTGAAAGATGTTTCTTTGTTTTGGCCCATTTTGTGGGCTCGTTTTTTTTTGTGTTCTTTTGGAATGAATGAATGTTGGAAACTATTCTCTGTTTTCCCATTTCATTGGGTTCAGTTTATTTTTTATTTTTTATTGGAATGGATTCATGTTGGAAACTATCTTGGCCCATCTACTGGGCCTTGGTTTTGGTTCTTTTGGAATGGATAAATGTTATGGATAAATGTTGGAAATATTTAATATTTTTTTTGTTCTCCCATTTGTCTAGGTTTAGTTCTAGCTCTTTTGGAATTAAATTATAGTTGGAGGTATTCTTTTGTTTTGCTTCCTGTGCTGGGTTTGGTTTGCCCCTGTGCTGGGCTTAGTTTGCCCTTGTGCTGGGCTCGGTTTGGCCCTTTCGTGGGTTTGGTTTGGCTCCTTTTGGGATTGTGTTTTGGCTGGAATCCTTTTCTGTTGTAGCCCTTTGGTGGGCTCGGTTTGCCCCTTTGCTGGACACAGTTTGGTTGGAGGCTCTTCTTTAACGTCTCTCCTGAGATTTTTATTGGTAATCAAGTTTGTCCATTCACTCTCTTATGTATATTAAAGGAGCACAATGATAATATTTGTGGCTACTTTTTCCTTTGTCGTGAAGCCTGTTTAGTGGTCTTGGTCTGTTGCCTTTAACCGTGAGCATCATAGCTGGTTTCTTTTTGTCCTGTTTGGATGTTCTGTGCTAGGTTTGGGGCTTGGTTTTCTCCTCTCTGCTCTTGGCCGTGAGCCTTACTGTTGTGGTTTGTGTTGTGGTTGGTTTGTGGTTGGTTTGGGACTTAACTTTCTTCTCATTTCCTCTGGCTATGAGCTTTTTTTAGTGGCTCTTTTATGTTGAAAATGGTTGGTTCAAGCTTAAATGATGATGGTCTCCTTCCTGGTGCCTTGGCCGTGAGCCTTACCTTGTGTTTACTGCCCTTGTGGTCTTCCTCTTGCTGTCCTTACCCGTGGGCTTATTCTGTAGTGGCTTTCTCTTTGTTGGCCCTACCCGTGAGCTTAAATGTGTGGTGTCCTTCCTCTTGCTGCCCCTACCCGTGAGCCTTACCTTGTGATCTCTTCATGAGATAAGTTGGGCTGGTGGCTGTCCCCTCTGTTGACCCTGGTTATGGGCATTTATATCGTTTTATCTGGATAATTTCATGTTTATATGGTATGAAAAGTTTTTTTTTAATGAAGGTTGAAATTAAATGATTTTGATTTTGGCACGATTTTCTGGAAGGCTAGAAGGTTGCCCCCCCTTATGCATTATTCTTCTTTACTTTGTGAAATATGAAAGACTCTTATAGCTTCATTTTGAGAAATCATAAACATGATATAATTTGTATCCGTGAAAGGATTAGAAAATTCATAAAATTGTCAGTCGGAAAAGAGTTTGGAGATTTGACATTAAAACTTGGATAACATAAATGCTACATTTCGGTTCAGGCTGGGGTGTGTGAGTACATATAGGTGTTGGAGCAGTGGATACAATTGTTACGTTAGTTTTGGGCCCGTTTCGACCCGTTTGAAACAAAATTTGGAAGGGATACCCTTCTTGGGTTGATCCATTTATAAAATTTGAAAAAATTATATCTTTCTTGGATTGATTCAAGGATCTTGGGTTCTCTTTTTATCACAGTTTTGAGGTTTGCTCTA